ATTTCAGAGGAGTAGTGGGCAATTACTTATGACTTGTAAAGCTTTTTGAGGTAACAAATCTCTCTTTTTGCTCAAGTCCTGTATTTTAAAAAGCCTGCAATTTTCATAAATCTACCTGTAAACATTTCATGGCACTAGAAAAACTAACCTAAGTTCTAGTTATACTTCCAGACTGAAATAAAAGTGATGTAAGAAAGTATAAATTATATGTATCAATATCAAACACTGACCCTCACTGTGCCTGGGGAGAATTTTCTCAGCAGCAATGATGGCGATGTACTGCAGGACCACTGCAATTAGCAGCACTGAAATCTCCTAACCTAGCAAGTATTCCCACACCAGGAACTCTTGTGTCTGCATATATATATCTGTGTGTCTCCTAGAGGAGTTTGTAAATGATTTTTTGGCTTATTTTTGATACATATATATTTCCATTTCATGTTCTACATTATATAAACACAGATGGAAACTTAACCATATCGAAAGAGATTTCAGCCAACAACTCTGAGATACCATTTTACATTTGATTTTATATTATTTCATCTCATATTACCATAAAGCAATTAATGTAACAATTGTTTCATTAACTGACAGTAAATAGGAATTGCAGTGAAACACGATTAAGCCTAGTTACTCATCAAGCTTCAAGCATTTAACTGTGGAGTTAAAGGAACTGCAGATTCTGTGCACAGCCAACAATAAGATGCAGGACCTGGAGAATATGACTCCTCTGAGATCACTACCATTCTCCACACATGCACCTCTCTTTCTCCTTAATTACTACACAGGGAATCTATGGTAATACAGTTCTTCATCTGGGAACCTTAGATGGAAGGGAGAATGCTGGGTCCTCGTTCTCTCTAGCATATCTTCCAGTGTATTTATACATGTGACCACAGTTAGAGCAGATTAAGTACTGCCAATGTCAGTAGCAGGAAGCTTTCAGAAGCTAAGTGCTAAAAGGCATCCCTCATACTTCAATTAGGCATCGACTAAGAATCCTGATTGTGTAAGGTATAAGCTGTTGCTTTTCAAATTAGGTTGGTTTTTGTGTGTTGGCTTTTTTTATAGGTATCATTGGCCTCTAAAAATGCATTCATCTTGCAATTATTCCTATTCCTTCACTGACTGAAAAGCACAATTAAAGTAAAGCCTGTGAATTTTTTTCAGTGTATTAGGCACATTCTCATACTTAGTCTTATTCTCTATTAGCAGCTATCAACAGAAGGCTACTTCAGTCAACAGTGAATGACTTGAAAAACTGGAAAGCACTTACTTTGTCCCCTGAGACCAAAAGCTTCAAATCCTTACTTTTAAGTTGCTCGAGGCTTGAGACATGATTCCATTCTCCTAAATGGCAGCACTATACACTGCTTCAATTCCACTGGGTCATTCTTTATTTAAATTCTCATTAAGAGAGGCTTGGGTAACATTACATTTGCAATATACTTCTCCAGATTCTGCATTTTGAAATCCAGCTACAAAGCTACAACAGCTCTTTCATTAACTCACACATGCCAGACAGAACACTTGGCTTGGCAGTCACAGACAAGTTTTTTGGAATGTTTACAGACAAAAATCCTCTCCCTTGACCAAAACAATAAAAGGAATTATACCCACAGCTTTGGTCTGAAGATTTAAACATAATACAGCTTGAACAGAAAGTTAATGGTAAGTCAATGTCATCCGATACAGCTTCATACAATATTATGATCCCATCGACCTTTTGAGGATAATGTGGCACAATTATTCATTCAAATTGTGGACATCTCAAGAGAGAAAACCACAATGTTTGTTCATTGGTTGTTTTCTTTTCAAATGTTATTTTCGTTCACTGCAGTGGGAAGAGACAAGAACAGAATGCTTGTACAAATGCCACCAATAAACTTATTTTTAAAAAATACAGCTAGGAAACCATTAGTAGATGCACTTTCCACAGACTTTGAGCAAGATATTGAGCAACCTATGGTTCTCTGGCCCCAAACCTGCAAGCTAGTTTCCACCAAATGATCCATCTGCTTAGGTCAGCTGTTTGTGAGAATATAAATGAAATCTAGTCTAAAGAAAACCAAAATGTAACTGTTCCTTTTTCCTTCTAACATGTGGGCTTTCATTTTGACTACATTAGAGATCCAGTCATCTCCCTATGTTGTTACATTTTCCAAACTGAATCAGCATTAAGGACATGGAGAACCTTCGCTGATCTGATACAATAGGCTTTTTTGCTACAATTTTCTTAACACATAAGGGCTCTTGGAAACTCCATCAGAGAGACTATGGAACCATGTATAAACTGATAAACCTCACTGCAATGCTATTGGTTAACTGATACCATGGTGTCTTTTAAGCCCACAGTACAGAGTTGCATACAGAAAAGTGGGAATTCCTGAGAAAAAGCCTTATCCAAGTTCCCATCACTTGCCCTGCCATATTTCAGGTCAATGTGCCAAGTGCTGGATGCTCTCTATCACAAGGGAAGCTTTCTGTTTCTTCTTTTAGATTTGCTCTTGCTCTTTGCAAGAGATTGAAGCCAGGCCTCACATTCTAGGTAACTCCACTAATTAGACTAATTAGCTCTATATATCAGATTTCTTCCCATGAACTGATGAATATTAGATTGTTTAGAATACGGTCAACTGCCAGGAGGCATTACAGCAGTTTCACCTCATGTTCTGTTGTAAACATGTAACTATGTTATACTACAACATTACATTCGATTTTTAAAATACAGCTTTGTGTAGTTAACTCATAAATATATGCCCTACAAATTACATTGTATTTTCACTTACAAGAGAGACCTAAATAGGAAAAATAAAAAATATATAACATCCTAAATCACTCTACCATATAAGCCAGTCTGTTAAACTGAATCAATATAAAAGCAGTAAAGCCAACTATCACGAAACGACCTAAACCACAGTGCAGAAGTAAAATCTGTGAAGACAACTGAAGTTATACTCAGCTTAGGTTATACTTGAATTTTACTTTTAGATGTATGCGTGCACTACGTGTAATCTGAGAAATGTATTATCTGGTCTAACTGGTATTAACCAAAATAATTTAAATTCCAAATAGAAATCATAATAAAATGCCATTTTACAGTTTGCAACTTTACTTACAAATGGTACTAAAGATATTTCGAGACAGATTAAAATAAGGCTTCTCTAGGGTATACTAAATTATAATTTCAACCTCTCTTGTGAGAAAAAGGAAAATTCCTGTTCATTTACACAATTAATTCATAACTGCTACAGTTTAGCTAGTGACAACCCCAGCACGAAGAAGACAAAATCAAACTTCCCATGACAAAATGTTTGTATTTACATCATATTCATGTACAACAGAACTGACTGAAGAAGTTCAAGGATCTGAGATGTCCATGCCAATGAACTCCACATAAGGGATTAAAGACTGTTTTCCTAAAAGGATATGCAATAATGCAAATATTAGAGTAACTCTTCTAATATACACACACTTTTCAGGAGGAAATCAGTGTTTATGTTTTTAATATGGTGAAGACAGTTCCTTTACAAAGGAACGGCTGTGGATCTGTCTTTGATTAAACTTACCATCTAACATGTGAATGTTTTACAGTAAAGGGTGCTTCCAGGTTTGCTAGGGAAAGATTCTAAGGTTAGGATGGAAATTCTAGTTAAGTTAGTAGTAAGAAAACAAAATAACCATAAACTTAAGGGATAATGGATATCAAACTGAAAGGAGGAACTGGAGGGTCTATATCTTTTATAGTTCATGTAGCTCCTCTGAGTCTCTCTGGCTGTTACTCACCTGGCATTCTAAGTAATAGCTATACAAAATGACAGAGATACAATATCCAAGTAGGCAAAATGTTCACACGAGATGCAGGAAATCTATTTTCAAGTCCATGTATTAGTTAGTGCTATGAAATAGCTGGCTATTCTATGCCCTCCTACGCCTGCTTTTCTGTTTGCTAGGGGGAGAGAGGAAGAGGTAAGGACATAGGTTTGAGAATTTTTTTTGACATTTCAAACACCTTCACAGGACAGGAAAATTAAGTTCTTATGAATATTTTCAAAATTAATTCCATGCATACTTGCACATTTTGCAACAGTGTTTCTATTCCTTATTTTTAGGAATTCATTACAAAAAAAAGTTAATCCTATGGGCAAAATGCACCCTAAACTGCAAGTTACAAACCCTCAAGCCAAGAAGCGCACATTGAACACTATTCCTTGGAAAATGGCAGCAAAGTAGTATCAGAGTCATTCCCGTGGTACATCTCTTTCCACAGTCAGCCTCTATCTTTTGATAAGTCATTAGAAAAGATGACATGTGTATCCTGGCACAACTAGGTCCTAGGGAAAAGTTGACAGATGTTCCAGTATAAATCAGTTCTGATGCACATTGTGTTGCCTCCAGAGGCATCTTCTGGTCTTCTACAAAAGGTTACTGAACCATATATAATACAAAAATGCAGATACAATTGTAAGGAATAAATGTAAGGTTCTGCTTTACCCCACTTAGAAAGTCTAATGCATGAATAATGTTCCATCTGCACAATGGTCAAATGTGACTGAAATTGATTTTAGATGTACCACATGGAGCAGCACAGACCTTAACAAGCTTAGTGACATAGGGGACCCTGTCAGGAATCTGTACAAAATTCATGATACAAGAAATTTGTATAAATGGGAACCTGGGACAAAGAAGAATGGGGGTTATACTACAGGAAACTTTTGTACCAAGTAATCAAAACGAATCACTGAATACTGAAGGCGTTCTCAAGTAGAATATAACAAAGTTTAGTCACATTAAATTTATAATAAACATGTGAAACATGTCAAGTATGCAGCTACATATCCTGACCATTAACTTCTCTGTATGCATGAATAAAATGCGAGCAATGGGAACAAAACAGCCTTCTGCTAATGTGTTCACCTGGAGAGACACTTTTTTTTTTTGCCTGCAGCTTTAATCTTTTCACAACATACCTGTGTCAACATCACAGTAGTGTAACCCACCTGCATCTGTCATAGCCTGGAATTGCTCTAGGCTTCCTCATATCCCTCCTAAAATGCTAGACAATGATCCACTGACATCTGGCAATTCTGCAGAGGAAAGAAAGAAGAGTCAGAGTAGTAATATTCCACATTTTCTTCCCTCTTCTAATAGCAAATGCTCCATGACACTGCACTGCTGGAGGGACACTGCACTGTATACAGAACTGCTCTAGACTCCTGGTTCTCCTTCTTGGTTTTGCTTGTGTAATTCTGTAATTATTCTGAGCAGCCAGATTAAACAAAGCAACAGGAAGAAATTGTGTTTGATCTGTATTTGACAGCAGAGAAACTAGGTTACAGCAGCACTTCAGTAACTTTTTGTACACCCAAAGATGCCGTATTAGCCTGCTTGCTCTGTTTAACTCACACTTGTTTCACATGTTGAGGGCTAGTTTAATTCTCGTTATTGGTTTCATCTGGATTCAGCGTTAACATGAACAACATGGTGAAAACTCTACAAATATATCTGGGGGGAAAAGCCCAGAACTCATTTATAGTCTGTTATTCCTCAAAATACACAGTTTTCTTATAAACACTATATCACAATTAGCATGTTTCATTGTTAAAAACAGGAATACTAAAAATGTTTCTTAAAATTCTTAGCTTTCAAAATAAACCAGATACAAACATTTTCTATAAGGTTAAACCAAATTACTGAGTTTAAATGATTAATAACAAGCAAGTTTATCTTAGCAAAACTGTTTCAAAAGCTTCTTAATGATGAGTTTGCTTTCAGTAATCTTTGGAAGGATTATGGATTAAAAAAATTATTAAAAGAAATTAAAAAGGCTGTAAGGTAAGTATCCTAAATTTTGGAAATGCCCTATGCGCAAACTGGGACCTTTATTCATTAAAAGCTCAGGATCAACAACAATCTTTGAACAAGGACTTATAAATATTTTCACCTTTCAACTTGACCTATCATTTTCATAAATATGGAAATACCATTGATGATGTTTACATCCTTCTGAATTCACTGCACTCTGTTCAACTCATTTCTGGAATATGACATAATTAATCTTTTCATCAGCTCTTTCTATCCTCTGACTATAGCAGACAAACACCTAACAAACTGGAGACACCATATCTTGATAAGGCAATAGAGTTATCTTCATTTTATAGATGGAGAAGTGAGACAGAGAAACAATAAAGTTTCCTTTAAATTAGGATGTCCAGTCTAAAATACTGAGGGATCAATTCTTCAGAGTACTTAAATTCATAGCACAGTGAACATTAAAATCACTGATCTTATTATCTAATTCACTTCAAACTGCATCGAAGTCAGTGTCAAATTCTCCAGTTGTAAGCCAAAAAAAAAAAAAAAAAAAAAAAAAAAAAAA